AAAAAAATGCAAAATGCTGATATGTACCGATATAACATAGTTGTTATCAACAATGATTAACTGATCTTATCACGTACCGTCGTTTCATTTAAACCCAAACGAAACTTCTTTAGACTAGTGTTTACTACCTCAGGTCCATCCGCTTGTCTTGAACCGAATCACCCACTGATTGGCCATACAAGACGAACAAAACGACCGATTCATTTTCAATTGCTCAAATCATCATCAAACAAAATCATTTTCAATCATCAAATCACGCCTGATTTCTTCAAAAACTTACGATCTTAAGTAAAACAACCAAACAAACTAAAACAAATCCCATTCTAAAAAAACTACCCATAGACAACTATCGAAACATGGGTGTTTGCATAGGATCCTGACCCTGGAAATTATTTTCTCAACAATGCATGCATTCAATAAAACATCGCCTCTTACCTAACTGCAGTAATTAACTCATTCCCAATTACACATTGATCATTCGCAATTCATTCACATTCGTTTATCACATTCGTTGCCTTCTACTGAATCGGCAGTAGATGCATAAATCGCTAGAAAACTGCGCAATTGCGATTTCGGTTATTCAGAATCGAAACAGCAAAAATTTTATCGCTATCAAAAAATGCCACCATTCTTGCTCCATTCTCAACACCACAACTATCTTGTCTTCCGTTTTCCAATCGAAAACAGATCATTCCAGGATCAGGAAATTGGTCAGGATTTTGCAAGCACTAATCACCAATCACATCACTCAAAACACATTGTGATATCAATCAAAATCAGCACCACTACTACCACTACTAAGATCATCGCATCATAACAACATATTGGATAAGCAAAGTTCAGTTGAGTGATAAGTTAAGATTCACATCAATTAAGTCCAAGTCGAGATCAATTCACAAAACGCAAGCAATCACATCAATCACAAACAGCAACAAATTTTAACGTTCAACAACAATAATACTAACTAAAAGTAGTCTCCCTTACTCGAATCTGTTTGTTCCGTCTGCAAATCAAACACTTCCCTAACACTTTCATCCAAACAATATCCATCCCACGAAATCAACATTCAAAGAGATGAATCAAAACACAAACTCCTTATAAAAAGCAAATGAAATTCAGTGAAGAAGTACGAGTAAAAACTTCCACACTCAATACTCAGCAATCATGACTTTGCACAACACAATGAAATAATACCTTCGCTCTACCATTACAAACACCAAAAATAATCATATTTACAAAACCCCAAAAGTGGCACTGGAATCAAAACAATACCTCGAATCGATTAAAATGCTAAATGCTCACTATCAGATCAGGAAATCAATACGCCAAATGAAAGTAATCTAGTTTGTTGAACGAACTTGATGAGAAACACTATCATCCCATGAAAATGCAACAATATTTTGAGAAGACATAACGTCACATGAAATTATCATCAAACATTATCAAGGTACACCGAACAAATTATACTAAAATGTAAAAACATTGCTACATAAATAAATAAATAAATAAATAAATAAACACATAAATAATACAAGACATTAACAGTATTACGAGTTACTCAAGAAGATATCACAAGACAACGATACCTTATGAACATTTACAAACAAACACAACACCTGCACATACACTTAATACAGAATAACAGAAAGACTACAATAATCAATCTACATTATCGTCGACTCTTCTGGACAGAAGAAACTTCGAAATATTCCATCTCCAATTTGAACTCGTTATATTTCATTGAGCCATATTGTCATCAACAGTTTCTGTGTGAGATGTTCACAAGTTTAGTGTGCCCTCCCTGCATACATACACTCCACTCATTGTGTGACCTTTGAAACTTTTCGCTGAACATATTCCCTATTTCCTTCCGACTTCAATATCTCCCAAACGGCTAGGATGCTCTCCATTCAGGCGGTGGCGTACCAACATCCACATATAAATGATAATAAAGTGGACGAACAGACAGCTGAAATGATCAAAATCTCTTTGTTAAATTGCATTTTTCAGCTAAATTTTATGCGTCGTTCGCAATGAACACTGAACAACTGATTTCAACTAGCAGTGATCCGATGGAAAGTCAAAACTGCAGTAAACAATACAGCAAATAAAAATTAATCGATCAGTTTACCAAATCAAAGATACAACACTATAAAGACTTATGGTACATATGGAAAAATACGTGCAATCCATCTGTACATCTAACAACAAACCAGCATTAGCTGCACTTAATAACTGATCAAAGAATATTTTCAATTCATCGCAATCATAATCGCTCAATGTTTCGCATATTTTTCATACGAGAAAAAAGGATAGATAAAAATCAAAAAATTCAAACTATACCTTAGCAATCTTCCACGAGGTCACATTCAATCCATCTGTTTGCCACCTCGTATCCGCTGAATCCAACAATCTATATCTGCAAACACAACAACCAAAATTTTCATTCTCAGTCCAAACTTCATTGCAACAAAACATCACACCATCCGCTGAATGATCATTTCAGCGCAATATGTGGAAAACTTTCCCAACTGCTCAGACCACTTCTCAAATGCGAATCTAGTTTCGATCATAAATTTTTCTTCACATACATATTTCTTTCCATTCTATCATTTCGACCAATTTCATTTCAATCTCAACATTCGCTTATCGCTTCCCTTCAAATAACTACAAAACCTTAACTCATCAACCAAAATATCGATCACCTCAATGCTACATTACAGACAAATCACTACAAGCACAAAACTCACATAAGCCTTGGTGCAGTACGTTTCCTCTTCACATGTTTCAACATTGAAAACCTGCCCGTTTTTGGATCAGGTCTTTCGATCGTCAGATTTCGTGACAGAATTCGTTTCCCTAAAAACACACAAAACCAACGAATCTTTCTTCTCATAACGAATTATCTTTGAAATTGCTCTATTTTTAAACAATTTTCATTTCGCTTCTTTGATGGACAACAAAACAATTCAGCTTTATGAAAACTTCACTTTTCATAAACTGAAAACAAATCTCAAAAAAAAAACAACAAACAAATGAATGAATACTCAAATCGATAACAAACCCATATCATCGTCCTCTCCACCCCATGCCCAATACATATTCGAATAACCATTCACTGATCGATAATCATCCATATTTATCGCCAACACTCCACCAACTATCTCTTTATACCATAATCTTAATCAACACTCTCTGCATTACTCTTCTCATTATGACTATCACTACTACCCTTACCACTATCATCATTTATTAATTCGTTATCACCAATTCAATTCCTTTCATGATCTCAATCTAACCATCAGCAATCCACTATCTTATTACTACCTTATCAGAATGCATCATACACTGCACATGAATCGATTGAACTCTTCAATGCCAAGGATGCCAAGGAAGTAAAAATGTGATATTAGTGATATTGTTGATAACGGAGAGGCGCATAAACTCGTAATCAGTTGAATTGCTGATTAAGTAAATGAGTAAATGCACATGAATGAATCATTTAATCTCCTATCCCTCTTCACTCACTCACCATAAACACGATACTAAAGCACCTAGTAACGAAACGATACCGACAACAAAACCAATAAAACGATTACCGCAACATAATAGCAACTAAATACAACATACCATAAAATCACACCACCAAAATATCAATCGCTCAAATAAGACAAGCAAAACTAAAACAAAAGCAAAACGCATGATTACACAACAGTGAATGGACAAGATCAAAACTCACTGATATCCCAGAGTACTCACAAACGCCCCGATATGTCTAGGTGTTGTCGGGCATCCGTATGAGTTGTGATCATCTTGTGGGAACATGTCCACATCGTGGAATATCACACAATCCACCGCCATCATTTCGGCTAATCGAAATGCTGCGTTCATTATACGACCCTTATTGAATAAGTCATTTCCGTACTAAAATTCAACCAACCGCTCATTATATTATTAAACAATAACTAATCGCAATCCCAATCCTAATTATAAACAATATCAACAAATCTTAATCAAACATTCAACCACAATAATAATCATCACGAAATATATTATCAAAATTATCGACAAAATCACTGAATAACTTAATCATAATCATTATAATCTTAATCATAATCATCACCAAATACACTATCAACAACAACAATAACATTATCACAAAATCATCACCTAAATCAAAACTCATTCCGTTAAACAACAACACTCTACAATCCTCAACAATTCACTAATATTCCACCATCCATAACCAATTCTTTCAATTTACGAATTCCAAAATTGCCACAGAAATAATTTCATCTCATTGTCAGACAAATAACTTTCCTTCGAAACAATAAACGCAAACAAATACTCACTTGTTCTGTGACAATGAATCGAAAGTCAAGCAATTGTCGTTGCAGTAAAGGAACGAGAAAGTCGATGAGACGTGTCAAATGCGTTTGACGATCACGAAATGGAATTATTATCGCCACCTAAACTTTTTTTTCAACTATTCACATAATCCTTATCGCATCAAAAAACGAATCGATAATATCATAAACATTCTTCAAAGTTTAATGTAAATATACATCAAGTTCAAATGAAACTAACTATAATGAATATACGAATCTGAATAAATCAAATATTCCCTTCACCAAATTTTTCACCAATCTCGACTATAACAACGAACAAACCCCGTTCGATACACACTCCCTCAAATTAAACACAAGAAAAAAGTTTCCAAAGGCTCACCTTATACCTTGCCAAACAATCCTCAGGTTTCCAACTTCCTCCAGCACCAAGAGACGGATAGTGATTCTTCACTTCAGCCTCTTTCAAGTTCGTTATCAACAGCGTTGCTTGAGGTAACTTCCCGACTAAACATAAACGAATTGAACAGCAAAATGAACACATCTCACTTAAATTTTTTAAAAAGTTTCCAAAATCCTCCCGATGAGATGACCGCACAGGATGGGATATGAGCTGCTGCTCAACCATAAGAAGTTCAACTCGTTGACACTGATGTCCAGGCCTCATGCCCTCTACTTCCTCTTTCATCTGTAGGCAAGAACATTAAACTAGTTTCAACTGTGAGATGCCACACTTAATCGCTGTATTTTGCGAAGACGAATCCTCAAGAAATAAAATAAAACTCACTCAAATTCGGATTTTCATCTATGTCCACACAAATTGTTGTGTTCATTTTTGATGCCTGCTTTCTTCGCCTCGACTCCAGTCTATCTGCTTTGTTCAGCTCAGATACTAATGCATTTTCACCAACTTGTCTTGCCACAACACTCGACTTTTCAGTATCATTCAGTTCTTCTACGGCAGACCTATCCAAATCAGGTGACCTAAAATTCAAAATACTAAAATTCAGTGTTGTCCTAAAGCATCACAGACAGACCAAGAAGATTTCGAGTGTGATTCAGTGAGCAGAAAAAATTTTTTTACATGAACACCCAAACGGTTCGCAATCAAGTAAATGCCGTAGATAAGCTACTGGCATTCGCATACCTATATGAGGACTCATAGAGCACCATCAACAGCAATAGTTCTGACAACAAAGTGTAAAAATTACCATACTGTCAGAAAATTTGATAATAATAATAATAATAANTCACATTCCTTACAAAAATGTACTTTATAGAATTTCAAACGATATTATCAAAGAACCACTCACTTGAGGCGTTGTTTCTCGGCATCTTGATGTGATGACTGATGTAACTGCTTGAGAACTTCCTCGTTGATTTGTGAACGATCATTATTGCCGATAGCATTTGGTTTATTATCATTCTTATTAACAATATTATTATTGATATCATCATTATTATCATTATTATTATTATCATTATTATTGTTGATGCCATTATTATTAATATTATTAGCATTAATATGATTCAACTGCTGTTGATTCTGTTGTTTCTGCTCTACACTCAATATATCACGTACCTGAGTTGTTTTCAGACTGAAAAATCATAATTTCATTTAAATACCTCGTTCTCATTGCACCAGTTATTCGGGCTTATTTCACTTATTCTCCTAAAAAATTCTGATAGATTCTTGATTGATAGAACTGCTGTAAAACCACAACATTTCTGTCACTTACCAAGTCGAAATCATGAATTATCAACACACAATAAATTAAAATCCAAACAGTAACTACTCACCTTGAAGGCATAAGTGTTTTACCGATCACCATATATAATAGAACTGCACATGCAAGAAATGCGATAAAACGTCGTATTGGGAAACGAATGAACATCGAAGCCATCGTGATGGAATTCGCATCAAATCAATTATGGTGTCTGTCCTTTTGGAAGCAATAAACTCAACGTTGACTGCACTCGATCTCGATAACAGTTGTCGACTGATTCAATACAACAAACACGTAAACGAATACACAAATCAAAGTGCTTGCTTTTAATACTGACGACGTGGAGATGATATTGTATACTATCGTACAGTTTCCTTCAATTTATCCAATTGTTGCATTCCACTGCAGTGCCCATCAACTGAACAAATGAATGAATATATCACTGTGAAATCACAAAAACCTCAGACTTTTTTACAGAAAAAATTTTATCAGCATAATACGGAGCAGCATATCAGAAAAGATCACTGTCAATTATTTCAATGCTACAATCGAAAATCGGAAAAATAAATGGGCATATGGGAGAGTAGCNAGTAGTGATTACAGAAACAACCCAAACCATCAATGAAATTAATGAAACGAACTCAGGTCGCACAAATGGACCGTACACGAAAAAAGCAACTGCAAATGAAAATGTGAATATTTTAAACGGAAAGGATAGCAGCAAAAGTTATCGATACGCCGCTTATTGACGATAACCTTGACGTAACTGATTCAAATAATACATACATAAAATAAAATCATATTCAAAATGAGACGAGATTTTTATTGCTTCTGTATAATCATCAGCACCATCCGTCCGTCACCACATTCATGCATTCATTCGATTATTACCAAGAGGATTGAATCATATTCGCCGCAGATCAATCGCATTAATATTTATGCATTCAAAAACTACTTATTCAAATTTGGAGCAGCAACTGAATTACATATTTGCATTCAATTAACATATATAAAATAAAATTTGCGGACTTTTCAAACGAACAAAACAACAACAACAGTAAAGTTGGCTGTGTTGAAAGAACGATGAATGATAAATTTGAGGTGGTGAGAGGGTNATTTTTCACAAAACACACAAAATTTCCACATCTCAACAACAACAACAACGTTTTTTTGTTTATGAAATGAATGAAATGGTATGTCTACGAAGAATGTGACATTTCAATATTTCAATGAAAATAAACGAAATAGCACTGCGGCTGCTGCTGCTGCTGTGTTAACAGTGCATTCAACAACACACAAGTTTGAGGCTGAATTAGAATTGTGAAAAAATTTCAAAACTTTAACTTCAATAGAGACCAGCTGCGTTGTTGTAAAACATTTAATTTAATTTTGTGCATTGCATTCATATTATTTGCAAAAGTGTAAAATCGCACAACACAATCTATAGGGTAGACAGTTCGCCACATGTAACCAATATGTGATAGCTGGATGGTAACATTAGAAAATGAACGGAAGTACTCGAATTTCCTTTTGATAAAAACGGCAATTTCCTTACCTCATAAAGATTAGCCAGTAAATTGATCCACTTCCTAAGCGAACATCCAAACAAACCAAGCACAGGATTGAAATGTAGGATGAAGCATTATCCGAAGAAATCTATGGCATATGTTAAGCAAAATATTATTGAAATCTGGAAATATTGTTGTAGTTTCGAGTTTCATTTCTAGTTGCTGGGAATTAAACTTCAATGGGCCATCATTAATCTAATTGTAAGAATGATTATCCGTTAACAATCCATAGTTTAGCGATATTTCACAATTCAGCGTTGAAAAATAGGCGAGCAAGATGCTAGAGTGTGTGAATAACCAATAACTTAAGCCTACTCATGAAAAACATCCTGGATTTTACAAAAATACCCTTTGAACAGGCTGCAACCTGAACGTTAAAATAAAATTTACAATTGAAGAGAATCCTTACAACAACGTATTGAGTGGTTCAGATTACGTTAATCAACACTAAATTGGGACTGCTTAACAAACAGAACCTCTAGATTCAGAATATTATAAATTTTACAAACCTGAGAAGACGGTAGCCTTGAAGGTGAAGGTGGCACCCGAAATATTATTAAAAAAATGCCTATATCTCCTCAAC